ACGTTTCAATTTCGTCAACAAAAAATAGCAATTCTTTAATTGATGCTGGAATCGAAACTTGGGAAATGTGAATCATAAAATAAGTTCCCTTGACAAGGTCAATCATATAAAAATCAATTATGAAATCTATAAATGAACGAAAAAAGGTGATTAAAAGAAATTTTGTGAATAAAAAAAAATAAAAATTAACATTCTTACCGACACATTGAAAACCAATAATTTTGACATCAGCACCCTTGTCGATTGCAGAATCGATGCAGTCTTTCATGAAGACACCAAGTCTAATTAAATCGCTGCAATTTTTATATACATTATATTTTTGCGATGGGGGACTAACTTCACCTACAAAAATAGTCGCAGCTGTTTGAAGCTGATGGATTACAGAGACCGTAAAATCCGGTTGCTTGGCTCGCCCATTGAATTTTCTTAACTTACTTTCGTTCAAACCCGTGTTCGGCCATTGGACGACGTGCTTTTCCGGGTCATGAAATATACTCCTCATGACATAATCCAAATAATTAGTGATAAGAGTTATCTCACTGGGATCATTTCTAATCTTATCGTTAGGTAATGTTTCTAACCCTTTTAAAATTACGGAGCCAAGGTTTTTTTCCAAATTTTGATCATTTGTAAGCTCATTAAGAAGCCATTCTTTGGCATGTTCACGAGACTCTTTAGTCGATTTTTTTATAGCCTCTCTAAATTTTAATTCACATTCAAGATTTAATGTCATTTCCTGAGTTGGTATGATGTTTTGACGTATTTCATCAAGAAAACGAGTTCCAAATACGTTAACCATTTGTTTTGAATAAGAATTGGGTGATAATAAAAATATCGACGACAATGAAAGAATCTCGTGAACGTTAGATTCGATGACTAAACCTCCATTTTTAGACATTCTTACTGACTCGTTTTGATACTTTCTAAACATCTGAGATACATTAAATTCATTTATTTTATAATCATTAGCTGGGTCACCATCTTTAAAGTAGAGATTTTCTACGTCATCAATTATTACGCGATCATTATCATAATAATTTTCCGAAAAAATATTGTTACCTACTCGAGCAGGTATTTCTGGTGACTCTATTAATACAGAACACGATGGTGTTGACGTATATCTATTAATCAAGCCCGCTTGTGGTGGTGGCGTGGTATAAAAATCAGAGTAATAAGTTTTTTCCACTTCCTCACTTATAGACTTTCCCTTTATTCCATTATTATTTTCGTTACCTTCCAACTCGTG